CATCTCTGAGCCTGTGGAGACGATGCAATTGTGTGGAGAAAGGAAAAGAATCTTCTGGAGGAAAGTGGAGTTTCCGAACACTCCAGCGGACATCAGGGTTTTAGGGAGTGTGTGCATCGTGCTGGATCCCATGGCAGGGCATTGACTTTGGTATCATTCACTGGGGGGTATCCCCACCGGAGAGATCTACACTTTACATCCGGTCCCTCAAACCCTGAGGTTCGGAAATGCAGCGGAGCTCTTCTTCCATTTCCTCTGAATGCACAGAAAACAACAAAATGGACTCTTGGAGTTTGATCACATGCACATCTCTCCCTCCAACTTCCAACATCTCAACACACACCTAGTTGTGAGAAGTGTCTGGATGCGTCACCTAGCAACCCCGATCTCAGCCGTTCCCCACCTACCTGCCCTGCGGCGCTCCCTGCTACACATGGACATCAACTGGTCAATATGGCCCCTCATCAGGCAATGAAGACTTAAAGGCGAGAGAGGGCTTGGCGACCTTAGTGATAAAGTTGCTCTGAGGAATCTTAAAGCTTTTTTCAGCCCAAAAATGGATCCAGATTTGATCCTAGATCTGCGCCAAAGAGCAGCTTTAAGCCCACAGTCCGTGTTTGACAGGGAGGGAGCAGTGAGGGACAGATACGAGGAGAGGGCTGTGTTCAAAGCTCAACACAGACAGCGGGGGGTGTTTTCCAGGGGAACAAGGTGTGTTTGTGTGTGTGTGTGGACCGGAGCATGAACCAGTACGGCCTTTTGACCTTAAATGGCACCTTCTGAAACCCACGGAGAAAAACTGCAATCCAGTTGCTGATCTGTTCCCAGATCAGTCTCAAACCTCTGTGTTTACTTCCATAAGGACAACGACCATAGACCTTTACTGTGTCTGCACCCGGCCACACCAACACACTGTTCACGCGTACCCTGATCCCCACTTGAACCCCGCATTTTAAAGCATTCATCTATTTGGTTTATCATCAAAGAATATGAGGTATATGATGAACTATCTCTCTTTTACATCCTACAGTGGATGAAGAAAAAAGTTTAAACCAACTTCTAGAGAAGTGGAAAGAAAAAGAGACAAAAAAAAACAAACCCTGAAAGAGACAAAGTGAGAAGTCAGAGGGCAATTTACAGCTGGGAATCTAAAATCACCCTCTCCTCTCTTGTCTCCTCCTTTCCTCTTTATCATGTAAAAAACGTCAGCCTTTGCCCCAGTTGATCTTCTTCTTTTGTGTTTTTGGTTGTGTAGCTGTAAAGCTTTCAGTGTGTTCTCCCTGTGGAGAAAATATCGAGAACAGAAGCAGCACCGCGTCTGAAAGAACACCTCATGCTGTAACTCAGGCAGTTTTTCACACATAAATCATATTTATGTGTTCTCCATCAGAACAGAATTTCAACTTGCCATTTCCTGTCTTATTACCAGGAGAAACAAAGACTTGAGTCTGTCCGGAAAGCCTCTACCAAATTCATTTTCCTCCTTTGTCCTGGAAATAATGAGGTGTTCATCTGCACAGTGCTGCCTCTCATGACTGTGAGCTTCCTCTCCCCTTTAAGAGGAGAGTCGTCTCAGTGAGGAGGAGAATATCTTTATGGCTGACCATCCAATCAGCCATATTCTCTTAGTAAGTCCCTACAGGATCCGTGGTTGCATTTCGGTTATTATTTGGTTTAAAGAAGTAAGAAAGAACTTCAGTGAGGGGCAAAAAAAAAAATCCATCACAGATACATCCCAGAATATGAAAAAAGCACCTCTAGAAATAAATTAACAAATAAATAGCAAGGCAACAAAAAAGATAAGCAAAAAAACCAAACAACCCTAACCTGAATAAATAGTACAATCAAAAGTCTAAATCATCATTAATAAGAAGAAATAAAAAAAGTCCAAAGAGAGATAGTTAAAATTTTTGGTCTAAAATCAAGTTATTATCATCAATGTTTTTTAGGATCTTTTTTTTCTCAAAGTCTTTTTTGTAAGTTTTTTCTTTTTAATACATTAGCGATAAGTAAGCAGTAGAACATAGATCTTTTTTCTACAAAATCTATAGAAGCACTAACAGATACATTCCGTCTAAGAGTCAATGTGGAGAAAAGGTTTCACCTTTAAGGTGCAAACCCCACATCTAAAGTTTGGTTCGTGAGACGATTCTCGTGTGTCAACTGTTTTCTGGTGTGGATCAAACCAAATATTCTTTGGATACGTTTAAGTCCAACTCTCAAACCGTCAACTTGACTGAGGCTGCTGCTGTGTGTGTTATTCTGCGTCTGACATGTGTGTTAAGCCGTCTCTAGGGTCAAAATTAATGACAAGACATCACTGCAGACCCTTTTTACTTTTCTTTTTTTTGGAACCATTCGGCATCCCATTAACACTCACACAGAAAAACGCAGTGTCACCTCGGACAAATTGACCCATTTCTGTGCCCTCATGCAGAGAAGGCAGCACATGTTCCTCTCTACTGTGTTTGGTTTGGTTCAGTATTTGGTTTGGCATTTTTAAGGTTTTGCTATTCAACTCTTTGTTTTTGGCTTTTTGTGTGTCTTTTTTTATCTGCCAAGACAGTCTGTTTCTTTATCTAATAAAAATCTGGAAGCTAAATTTTCACAGTATTTTTTCCAACCACCTGATAAAAATCTCTAGCACGACTACGAAAAAAATAAGGAGCTCTTGTAGTAAGTAAGCGAGTACGTTATTCCAAATGAGTAGTAAGCACTAAAGTACAGTACATAAAACGGCATCAAGAGACACAGCAGAGATAAAACAATCGGAACCAACCAACAGAAAAATAAAAACAGATTTTTTTTTTTTTTAGAAGATTTCAGTTCAGTGAGGTCATTTGCGTTTAGCTCCATCCAGGACCAGAGAGCTGAGCTGGAGAGGCAGAGGAGGGGAGAAATTGTCTGTCCTTCTGTCTGTCCAATCCCTCCATCCATGCTACACAGTTTCAGAGTGGGGCGAATGCTGCAGCCCTAAAGCTAACAGACAGACAGACGGCTTCATCTCTTTCAACACCTGCACTTTGTCCTCCTCCCCTCCTCCCTCCAGCCACATTTGGTTAGGGTTCTTTTTGGTTTGCTTCTGTCATTCCTTGGGTTTGGGTTTTTTTTTGGTTTGGGTTTATTTTTGGTATCCTTTTACAAAAAAAAAAGTGTGACGCCTTCTCCCCTCACTACAGTGTGTCCCTCCTTCGCCCTGCCCCAGTGTACCCTTCGTTCAGGGGGTTCGGAGTAAAGGATCAGTTCCCTAAATAAAGCTTCCCCCGTGGGTTTTTAGGACAGGCCAGGTGGAGGGGATTACCACCAGGGGGGCTGACGTCCTGTTCTCAGCCCCTCTGTGTCTTTATTGTGTTCACATGTCTTGGCTGAGGCTCTTTAAGAACAGCCCAGCCTTGAGAATGCTTTGGTTTCCATTTGAGAATTAATGGCAGTCTGAGGTGGAAAATGACAGTGAAATGTGATCGATGGAACGATGATAGAAACAGACAAATACCAGTAAACATGTCTAGACAGACAGGTGTCGGGGGCGTCTATGCTGATTGACGAGGCAGGAATGAGAGCCGGCTGTGACTAAACTTGGCTTTATTGACTTATTTAGCCTTCAGTCTCAATGGTTATTACTTCAAATCTCCAATCATGGCCCTATTTCATACTTTCAAAAATGGTCGACCACTCTTAACAAATGTCAATTTTCAGCGTGTGAAGTTTTTCCCAGGGCATGTTTCATTTAGCCACGGAGTCACCGATAATGGGTTATCTTTAAGAGTGAGGAAAGAGCGGTCAGATTAACAGCGCAAAATGTCACATGTTTAGGTCTTAACAAATTCATTCACACCTCGAAATCATCTCGCAGCGTGCCAACTCTATTTTGGATCTAAGGCACTTGGTGAGCGTCTTTTCACCTGCGTCATCTCTGTTCCTGCAGAACAGTTAGAAACAAAACAGAAAGACAACACAAATGCATATGATGAGGACGATGATGATGATGACACTGATGATGATCACACTGCAGAAGCTAACGCTAAAACAAGCTGCAACAATAAATAGGAGTTGGATTGTAAAATGGCACTAATAAATAATTACAAAAAACAAATTCCAACTGTACTTCTCAAAGTGTAAAAAATAGATACTGAATAACAAGCCTCTGTCAAGGAAACGTGGAATAATAAAAGAGAGAGGAAAGCTATTCTATGCTCTTCGAACCAGAGGTAGGTAAAGAGACTAACGTGAAGATACAGCGGCAATCATTCATACATGAGCTCTCGACTCATTCAGTAACAATCTTTTACAAAATTATTCAATATATCTAGCATGAAAACCTATAAGAGACACATGAGTTGACACAGACAGGATGAGTCGATGGCAGGATGGATTGGCTCTGGATGTGTGTGTTGGTGTGTGTGTGTGTGAGTAGCAGTAGCAGTAGAGTCCTGGTCCTGGATAGCTTCAGTATTTACACGTCCTTTGAATAAAGCTTTTCTCTCCGTATTTTTGGTTTTTGGTATTTGGGATTTTGGTATGGTTGTCGTTTTTTTTTTTTTTTTTTTTTTTTTAATTTTGTCATTGTGTATTCCTCCTCCGCCTCCTCCTCAGGTAAATTTTTGGTTTAAACTTATCCTCCCTACTCCTCTTCCTTCAGACCCGCAGCTTTTCGAAAATAATTTAAAAAAAGGGAAAACGTAAGCACAGTCCTCCTCTCCATTTTTTTTTGTCCTTGCCGCCATTCCTTTGTCACATAGTAAAGTTATCTTTTGTCATTTTTGGTTTATGCACTTCAACATGCTTCTCCGCCGTCTCTTCCGTCTCTTTGTTAAAGAGTCATTGGTTTGTTTTCCCTCAGAGAGAAAGAGTGCAGAGGCGCCATGTCGATATCACGTGTTATTGACAAAAAGGTCCCACGTTGCCTCCTCTCCATCGGTTTGGATAGATAAAGATTTTTGGTTTCAATCTCCCCCCCCCCCCCCCCCCCCCCCCCCCCCCCCCCTTCTCCCCTCCTTCACTTCTCTCCCTCCCTCTCTCCTCTTTCATTCTGTGTATTTTTGGCATCGAAAGACTGGGAGAGAAAGAGAGAGAGAGCCACTGTGAGAAAAATAACGGAAGAAGAGCGCAAGAGAGAGAAAGAGATAGCTTTGGTGTGAAAGGCGAGGTTCTCGTTTCCTTCTCCCTCCTCCTCTCTGATTGGCCCTTGGCGCGGTCACTCAATCTTGGCCCCGCCCAGAGAGGGCGGGCTGTGTGCCATTTCGCTGGAGGAGCAGGAAGAGGCGGGGCTGGAGCAGGGGGAAGGGGAGCAGGGGGTGGGGCTGATGCTGCTGGCCGAGGGGAAGGGGGAGGCCTGGGAGGCTTTGGCTACGGCGGCGCTGACCATTCCGGCACCGGGGTTCTGGCCCATGTGGAGGAGGGCGGGGTGGTTGAGGAAGAGGGAGGAGGGGAGGCCCCCTGCCTGGCCCCCAGAGGCCCCCAGCATCACCTTACTGGCCCCCTCAAGACTGGAAAGAGGCAGCTGGCCACCACTGGCTGCTAGGGCTGAGGGAGTGAGGAGAGAAGAAGTGAGGAGAGAAGAAGTTAAAGGAAAATTCCACTTTTATAATATAGCAGGATAGTTTTTTGGTATTATTCTTAGCATAGTACTACTTGTCACTGTGTATTCCTCATCACCTCCTTCTCAGTAGGTTAATCTTTGGTTTAAAGTACTCCTCTTCTTTAATACCCTTTAGAAATTAAGGCCCCGTTTATACGACAACGATTTCACTGAAAACGGTAAACTTTAGTTGCGTTTTGGCTGATCGTTTACAGGACAGCGGCGTTTTGGGTGGCCGAAAACACAACGATTCGAAAACGGGTTCCAGAGTTTAACTTCTTGGAAACGGCAGTGTCTCCGTTGTCATGTAAACTTGCAATATGCAGTTCCTATGAAAACGGAGACTTTTCGCACATGCGCATTACGGTTCCAGTCACTAGGCATGCCGACCGTCACAACAATGCCGAGCTCTGTTTGTGCTGCTCACCCTGTTGATTTGAAGTGAAGTGTAGATCTGTTACTGTAGCAACGCCACCTCGTCGTCCATCCAGACAAAGTTATCTGTGCATGCTTTCGCCATTGTGTCTTCTTTGTTTTGGTTTGTAATCACCGCGTTGTAGAGGAAGGCGCTTCAGCGCAGGCACATGTCACGCCGTGGTGTTACTTTACAAATTTACACTGCCACCCATTGGCCTGGCGTGCATAGTACAGCATTTCAGTAGATTTTGCGGCTCCGTGTGAACGGGGATCGTTTCAATAACGTCGTCATATAAACGCATAAGTTTTTTAAAACGCAAAGGACAGACTTTTCCGTTTTTAGAGAAACCGTTGTCGTCTAAACAGGGTCTAAAACTAACACAGTCTTCCACCCCCTTCTTTTGTCACATAGTAAAGTCTTCCCATGCCTTCTTACATATAAAATTCTTTTAAAGGATTTTTCAGGCCCAATTCCTTAAAATTCAAGGACCTACACAGCGTAGTTTTAAACACAGATAAAGGTTAATTACTGTTACAACACTGAGAATTTTTATAATGAGAACTAGCAGGCTGTACAGAAGCTCATAGACAACAATTCAAGAAAGAGAGAGGCTCAAATAGGTAGACACTTCATAATTCTTCTTCTACAGATGGCAGACAAAATCAGAAGAACTTAATTTTTGTTCTTGCACAAAATAAATTATTATAAATTTTAATTCAAGCACTTACAATGACCCAAAACAACGAGTCAAAGCGGAGGAGTCTCTAACGCTGCTGTCAATGTTAGCTTGTTAGCTTGTAAACTGTCAAACTAGGCAGCGCTGATCAAATACAAATCATGATTCTGTTACTGGATTGTCTATTTCTTGTCTCAAATGTTTTCAGACACCTATTTTAGTGTACTGTTTAGCTGTAAAATGAGAAAGTTTGCTCCAGCCGGTGGGCGGTGCTTTTGGCTTGACTGTTTCCAACATGCAGCTGGATCACAAACTTTCTCATTTTACAGCTAAACAGTACACTAAAACATGTTTCTGAAAATATCTGAGGAGAGAAATAGGCAATGCAGTAACAGAATCTTGAATTGATCAGTGCTGCCTCGTTTGACTGCAGTTCACAGAGTGATAGACATGATTAACAGCTGTGTTAGAGACTCTCTGGCTCTGACTTCCGTGAGCCGTGGTAGATTTTAACAAATGCCATTAGGGGCAGTAGGAGGAGGAGGAGAAGGAGAGGGACATACATTTTTCACAGACTATTTATCCTATCTTCCTCTTTCAGAATATAGTGACAGTTTCAGCGAATCTCTTAATCTGTTAAGTTACCAACTGTAGCTTAAATAGGAAAGACTCAGTGCTTTTGAGTGGTTGTTCTTCGTTATGAAACCATTTAATTTATGTGTTTGGTTTATCAACACTCTTCTGTTAGTCTCTTTCAAGTAAATAATTTCCTACAGTACCCCGCCAAGCCAGAGAACGTGCCTGAACGTGCTGCATTCAGCAGAGGTAGGTGGAGATAACCGTCACCACCTCTTTTAAATGGAAAGCTAAGGAGTGCGGTTTCTCTGGAAAAAGAGGTGCACCTGTCTGTTTTTTAGGAGGAATCATCTGAGTGGGAGTTGAGAAACTTTTACTTTTTCCACACACAAACACAAAAAAAAAATATAAAAATTGCCAGCAGAGAATAACTAAATATTATCTAATGTCTGTAGCAAGATACTCTTTTGGGATCAGATACAGCACAGCAACAGGTAAGCTTACATGAGTGGTCTGTTGTTATGGAAACAAGGTCGATGATTGGCTGTGAACACCGCTTCATACAGCGCTTCTTTCATACACAAAATGTTTCATGGGAACACGGACTAATAATGTTTGTGATTGCATAGCAACAGCAATACACATAGTTTTTATCCATTGGAGAAGAAGCATTAAGCACCCATAGTACTTGAAGCGTCTGGTGGGTGCGCTGCATTATGGTCTGTCGAGGGTACTTTTGGTAAAGAAACTGTTATTTCTGCCTCCTCAGTGATCGATCTCTTGGTGTGTGAGTGTTGAGTGTCAAAGTGGTGCGAAACAGCGAGTCCAAAATGCAGCTCTTGCTCTGCGAGGGTCTGATGTTTAAAGTTGACGGTTTAAATGTTCATCATGTCGATTATTGGGGCACATGTTAGATTTAGTGCATGAAACATCCCAGTGTTGCATCATCACGTGTTTAGGTGAATTTCTCTTTTAAGCAACAACACATTTGACCAGTGATGAGATGAAGAAATGAAAGGCTAAAGATGACTGAGACACAGACAGACGCACACATAGAAACTCAGCCCACACATTACCGTAATGATCGTCACTCACACATACACACGTGATGGGATGGAGTCATGGATGTCGATGATAACATATGAAAAACTCTCCCTCTCTGCGTCTCTGTGCCTCAGCTGCTTTGGATGAGCAAACACCCTCAGCTGCCTATTCATCCGCGTCTCCAGTCAGTAGTCTACCAAGTGCGATTTGATTCACCTACCATGCATAACTGCATTACTCATCATCACACTTCTGTTTTTAATACATCTCGCTCCCCCCCTCTTCTCGTCCTCATGCCAGAAAGTATGATTAAAAATTAGCTCTGCTGACGGTGGTGGGGATTGTTTAGTGGTCACTTCTTCAGGATCGTGCTCTTATTTTTCTTGTGCTATTCTTGTGTTGTTCTCAAGTGTAGGAAGGTGTGTGAGAGGGGTTGCGTCGTGCACAGTATGTGTCTGAGTTTTGAGCGTGTATGTGTGTGGGAGGAAAATGTATTGCCAGGACATAAAAACTCTTCTCTGCGTATTTTTATGTATTCTGTGACCCTAAGATTTTCCCAGAGAGTAAAATATAATGTACACCACCTCAGCTGTGACCTCTAAATTATATTCTGTTTATCAGTGAGCTTTCTCTTTTTTTCCACTTGCCCGAAATAAACCCATTTCAGCGTCTCTCTTTCTCTCACACACCTTGGATAGTGGCCAGGGGATTGTTACCGAGGAGGGCTTGGTTCATCCCTGTGTTAACTCCCATCACAGTGTTCCTGTTGTGTCACACAAACACACACACACACATACCGCACCATACATGTGCAAGCATATATACGAACACAGACAGGCAGAGGAGAAAAGGTGAGAAAAAAAGCAGGTTTAGCAGCAAGGACAAGCGGAGGGCAAATTCATCCCTGCACATATAATGAGCTGTGGTTTGCTGACAGCTGGCTGTACAGCTGTAAACAAGAGGTTAGAGATGCAGAAGGAAATAGAACATCTTGCAAAAACACTTATTAACTATGCATTTATGTTAGAAGTGATTCAATACAAGAAGACAGGATTCTGCACCAAACAACAGCACTGTATCATCTGCATGTGTGTGTGTGTTCGTGTGTCTCGGTCGCATTCACCTCAAGTTTGCAGCAAAATCAGTGATGTAGTTAGACACGTCACCGTTCTTTTTACCCATACGCCATAAGCTGTGAACACAAGAACCACACACACAAACACACACAGGGTTAGAGTACACTGCAGCACAGGGGAAGCAGTGCTGCCCAGTGGCATGTTGGGATGTTGTGTGCGTGCGTGTGTATACAAACAATCACTGTGTGTGTATATGTGTGTACAGTGCCATCAATTTAACTACAAACTGCAGGTGAAGCGAGCATGGTGCAGTGCAGTGTTCATGCTGTGCATGTTTATGGAAATGTGTGGTTGTGTGTAGTGGCACTGTGATTTGTGTGTGTTTAACCAAGAACCAACCCAGAGGAGGGAGCACATGAGGTCAGTCTGAGCTGCTCTGCACTGGCTTCCTGTTACATTAAGAACTGATTTTAAGGTCCTTTTCCTTGTATACAAAGCCGTAAATAGGCCAGGACTGAGCTACATTGCTAACTCCTTTGTTAACTATTTGCCTTCAAGAACACTGCAATCATCTGCTGCTGGTTTACTGGAGCTTCCAAGCAACAGCCGAAAGAAAATTGGGGATGCAGCCTTTGTCATTTACGCCCTGAAGCTATGGAACACACTACATATGGATATCAGGGAAGCCAGCTCGCTAAATATTTTTATGAGAACTCTGTTCACTCGCTTTAATTAGCTATGACTTTCCTCACACAGGTCTGAAACACTTTCTTTTTACACTTAACACTGCTGCAATTAATTTAAAATGGTATATACTGTATCTTAATTGATTTTATGATTTGTTTTATGATTTTTATTTTTTAATTTATGGTTTTGCTAATATTGAGCTATGATGCCTTTTCTTTGTGTTTTAGTTTCATCTTAAATTTAGTTTTTAAAACTGTTTTTAAATGTTCTTTTGTAAATTGCTTTGTGGGGCTGTTTTATATTCATTCTGTCTGGTTTCACGCGAAGCATTCCGTGAATATAACACCCTTGTTGTAAAGCACTTAGTCCCACATTTCTTGTATGAAAGTCACAATATAAATAAGTTTATAATAACAATAATAATAATAATAATAATAATAATAACCATAAATTATGTACTCTATATAAAGATAAAGCTTCCTCCTTCTGTACAAAAATGAAGCCCCAATATTCTTGGTATGGGTGCTGCCATCTTGTGCTAGTGACGTCGTTTGGAGCCAGAGTCTGTGCAGTAGCAATCGGGAAGTGGAGCTAACTAATGACTAAATAATCAAAACCAAACTGATCATAAAAAGACCTTAACTACCTAAAATGAAAGAAACCATCTTTGGGGAAAATGTATTTGACATGTACTCTGATCTTATAGTTTGGCCCATGTCCCATTCGCTAACATAGAGGGGGCAGGGTTTATGACATACACTGCCGTCAGCCACCAGGGGGCAATCCAGATGTTTCAGCTTCACTTTTGAGGAGCTGTCATGTCCTCCATCTTTATATACAGTCAGTGGTTTAAATATTTTACCTAAGTGTATTCAGTTGTGGTTGCCATAAAGCATATTGTAATTCAGATGAATCTTAAAGGGTTTCTCACTTACATGGTTGGGCAGATGTTGTAGGTTTGGTTTAATTAATTCAGGCTTTGTAATCCTTCTCTCAAAAGCCATCATTTTGAGATCTTTACTGCCAACCTAATATATTGCAGATGAATGGAACTTTGTCTGTTTTAAATGTTTTTTTCCTCCAGAAACTGTGTATTAGTTATTAGTTATTATCATTTCTAAAACACACTATTACATTTTAATAGGGACTAATTCAATAGTAGAAAGTAATTCCAGTCAAACTGTAATCTATACTGTGGTATATTTTGGACTAATATGGACATTGCTACTAAAGAGAGATTTTTTTAATGAAACAATTTAAACCACATCTTAAACTAAATTCCCCTCCATTCTACTGGGATGGAGGCAGAAATCTCAGGGGCCAGGTTTGCTCAATAGAACTAGTTTGTACAACATGTTGTCTGACCTCGTCGGAAAGCAAGGCCGGCGTGAAAAGCCAGCCATCACAGAGAGCAACGATGATTGTTGAAATGTGGAGATAATGGCAAACGTTTTCAGACAGTCTCTCCTTGAAGGCATTCCTAGCGCTGCACTCGTTTGTACACATGAAAAGAGGCAGAAATAGTTGTGTATGGAATAAAAAAAAAAAGAGGGCTAAGGGAAACTTTAAACACTGCCAGCTTTCTCTACTTATCACAAGTGGGCGTGAATGTTAGATTGTTAGTATCAAAAAGTTACAGATATTGTCGGATGTCAGAAAGATGTGTGGTGCAGTGCCATACTAATGAAGCACACTGGCCCCCTACAGCAACAGATATCTTAAAACTGGCATAAAAGGAAAACTATCTGGCTACATATCCCACAGGCAAGTGGAAATGCATGGGTTTTTTTTTTTTTTAGAATTTGGTTGAACCGACGAGGTAAAATATTCAAATTTGCCCTGACCATATCTGCATATTGTGAAAGTCTCATGGTCTCTTACCCTGTGTTAAGGTTGAGTGTGCTGTGGCTGGGAATGGCTGGGCTGGCCGTGCTGCGGGGAGGAGGAGGAGGAGTCACCGGGGAGGGTGCGGAGCTGAGGGAGGGGTGGGTGGAGGTGAGGCTGGAAGTCAGGGGGCAGACGGGGGATATGGTGGTCACTGTTGTGCTGAGACTGGTCACGGCCTGCGACAGCTGGCTGGACATCTGGCAGACACAAAGGAAAACAGATTCAGGTTTCTGAAACTACAAACAGCTGAAAAATGGGAACATGTTTACCATCAACTATTCCTCCATATATTTACCATGTGAGGGCTGTAGCAGGGTGGTTTGTGCGTTGGTGGGGCAGTGGGGGGCTGGCTGGGCAGGGGAGGGGTGGCACTGGAGGGATTGATGCGTTTCTCTTTCTGCCGGCGGTTGCAGAACCAGACCCGGATCACCTCCTTCTCCATGTTGAGCTGCTCTGCGATCAGCAGGATCTCTTCTGAGGTAGGCTTCTGGTTCTGTGAGAAGGGAGGGAGACAGGAATTCACATTATTTCAGCAGTGCTATGTTTTAGCCACATCATGACATTAAAATGCTCTGCGGAAAAATCACGACTTAACAAATTACTGTCCAGGATTTAGAAGATGCTTTAAAAGCGCTTAAGACACCATTTTCTGTTTAACAATAATCGTTAATCAGCTTTTTAAAAATTCTAGTCCTAGACCTCTGCAGATAATTCAGCTCCTGGTAAAAATAAAAATAACACTAAAGGCATTCTTTACAGAAGTTTCAGCTGGTTTTAATCTGAAATCCTCACCGCTAGGTATCCCTGAATCCCCCTAAATCTGACACACTGAACCTTTAAATAATTGGGTTTATGATCTTACCGTCATGAATGCGCGTTCCAGGGCCACGCGTACATTCGTCTCGATGCTGGTTCTCTTCTTTCTGCGGCGACCAGGAACCCCATCGAAGCCCAAAGTGGGAGAGGACAGGGAGCTGGGGCTGGGCAGGGTACTATCAATGGACATGGTCTCTGATGAAGGAAAGCAAACATAAAGACAGACTGAGTGTCAGACTAATTGCTGTATTCTTTAAGCACCTATTTTAAGTATAAATGTAAAGTACTGTTATTTTGATGAGGGCTCACCTGCATCATTGAGCCACTTCTCCAGCAGTGGCTTCAGCTTGCACATGTTCTTAAAGCTCAGGTTGAGGGCTTCAAAGCGAGAGATTGTGGTCTGACTGAAGTCGTTACCATACAGCTTCCCCATGGCCAAACCAACATCTCCCTGGTGGAGGGATGAAAGAAGTGCAGTCAAAACACATCAAAGACTAAGAGACTGCTAATGGAACCTGCACATGCACACACACACAGTAGGTGTCTCTTCCTACCTGTGTGAAGCCCAGTTTGATGCGTCTCTGTTTGAAAGTGCGGGCGAACTGTTCCAGCTCCTCCAGGTCACTGGGCTCCTCGGGGTGAGAGGTCACTGAGGGCACTGTGGTCACACCGCTCACCTCCACACTCTTATCTCGCTGTGGCAGGTGCAACGTCAGAGGAATGAAAGTGAGAACGAAGAGGGAGAAACAGAAGTGTTTGTTTATCGCTGGTGCAGAGGCTGTGTTTTCTTTTCCACTGACTAAAGCTTGAAAGTTTTCTCGTACCTGTGCTTGGAGTCCCATTCTATTTGGAGCAGACAGCAGGCTCCCTTGGTTTTGCTGAGGTAGCGAAATGAGATTTGGTGTTGATAGGAGTCCTGAGGACGAAAAAAAGAGAAATTTATCAACTATAATTACAACCAAAAAAGTATATTAACAACTTATTTCTGTCATAGTTCCAGTAAGAGGCCGGCCCACCTTGCTGGCCCTGCTGTGCCGGTGGGAGGAGGAACTGGGCAGGAGATGGGAGCGAGTGGCCGGGCACCAACACCAACTGCTGGAGCTGCAGCAACTGCTGGATGTCCTGTTCAGTCAAGAGTGAATGGACAGATCAGAGAGAGAATACGCTTCTATTAAGTCATAAGGCTAAATGGAAGGCTCAGTCACATAAAATGTGTTAATGTGTTATCTCTCTCTACCTGCGGAGAGAAGCATATATAGACGTGCCAAAAACATCGTAGTAGGAGGAAATATGTTGTTATTGTATGACGGATGAGAAAAAGAGATGGAAAATGTGTGCATCCGTGCAAGGTGGAAGGTATGAATCATGAAATATACAATAGACATGCAAGAAAAATTGTTCCATAGCTTGATACTGGTTCCTCAATCAAGCCGCTCACCAGGAAGTGGCTTTGATTGGCAGTCAGTACCTGGGCGGTAAGCTGGATTGGCTGGGAGAGGGTGAGCTGGGGTGGAGGAGGTGGGACACTTTGGGCTGTCTGTTCCTGTGTGCTCTGTCCCTGCCCCTGGGACTGCGACTGGGCCTGCTGCCCTGTTTGTCCCGCCTGATGCTGCTGCTGCTGTTGCTGCTGCTGCTGGGCTTGCTGATTTGCTGCTGCTGCTGCTGCGGCTGCCTGAGCTTGCTGATTGGCTTGGGCAGCTGCGTGGGCAGCATGAGCGGCGTGAGCTGCACTGGACTGCTGCACAGCTGCAGCCAGGAGCTGCGCTTGAGCCTGCTGCAGCAACAACTGTTGCTGTGCTGGCAACAGTGCTGTCAACTGGCGAAGAGAAAGATGTGAGGAGACAGGAGAGGAGAGGAGAGGAGAAGAGAGGAGAGGAGAGGAGAGGAAATGAACGAAGGAAATGGACAGAGGGAGACAAAGAAGGAAACAAAGTGTTCAAAAAGCAGCACGAGTGAAGCAGCAGGGTAAAAGCAAAGCAAAGTGTGTGTCCAGGTGCATATTAAAATATTAAAAATCTGCCTTACCCCTGCTAGCTGGGAGCCGGTCAGCATGAGCTGTGTATGTTGCAGGGCCGTCTGTGAAGGGGTCGGGCCGTGAGAGAGAGGAAGGGCCGGGGACATCTCACCACATTCCTCCATCTTAGTCTGTTTGAAAGACGAAGAAAAGGGAAGCAAATGTAGAAGCATTAAATTTAAATATATATAAAAATGAGTTTTGCTCCACCAGAACATTCGCATCACTCCTTTACTGAAAAAAAAAGTAATTACACTTCTCCTTCCTGACAAAAATGGCACCGAGTAACTATTAAAAGCATGCCTGCGCTAAAAAAAACACTCACAGCAAATTTAAAAAAACACAAGACAGGGAACCCCAGAACTTAAAACAGGTCAAAAATCAAAGCTAAAAACTACTACTACTACAACTACACAAGCTTACCTGGTTATTCATGATAATGATAGGCAGTGTTGATTATTTAAATTCAATGAGTTTTTCAAATGAATGCTTATAATCAGTCACAAGTACGCTGATGAGAAATGTGTCTCTATCTGTCCCAGGCACCAAGAGTCCACTCGTCTCTCTCCTAACACAAAAGGAGGACGTTTCCTCCAAGAATCAGGCATGTTGTAACTGGCAGGGGGAAGCTCTTCCAGCTTACTGTTTTGCATATATATGCAAATTAGGACCATTCCACCTTTTGGTGAGAGTTGTAGCATTATAGATTTATTGCTATTCTCAGTGCGCTTTGTGAAGGGAGAGTGCCATCATACTCTCTGCTCTGAGCGAATCTGTTTACATTCAGTCGACACTATGAACCTCGACGTTGAACACGACAAAAGAACAATTGAATGCGCAGCAACGAATACAAAGCCGAGGCAGCTATACTGTCAATAAACCTATTGTGGGACGTTAAAACACAAAAGATGCACAAACAGAAGACCAGACATACGCACAGACATGCACAGGCAGTTAAGTGACACGGACACACACACACACATGCACCCACCTTGCTGCTGCTCAGGGTGGGTGAAAGGGGAAAGGGGTTGACTTTCATTGACTGAGCCTAGAGGAAACAAACCAGACATCTCATCAGAAATGACTGCCAAAAATTACTTTAAAAGCATTCTGTTTAATTTAATCTATTTTCTTGTTCCTACAAATAGCTGATTAATCAAGAGAAGATGTTCTTTTATCAATATTTGTCTTTTTTAACAACTGTTTTAGTGATTCATCAAGCAAAAAAGCTGAACCTTTACTGCTTCCAGCTGCTTAAATGTGAGGATTTGCTGCTTTTCTCTGTTTGATTTCATTGTCAATTGAATATGTTGGACTGACACCTTTGCCTCTGAGAAACTGACAAACATCATACAGTACCTTTTCCTGTTCATACCTCCATGTAAAATGTGCTTTAGTGATGCTGTGTTTAAATATGGTCATGCCAGTAAAGCTACTTTGAGGTGAATTTAAATGAATATAGACTAACGGACACATTAATCGAAAATGGAAACAATCAGCCACGTGACTGTCTGATTCGCGCTATCTCTTTTGGAGCATTAATGATGTAGGTGAAAGAGGAGGGAGATAGCCCATAATAATCACAAGAATCAGGCGTACCTGGTGATTTGATTCAGGTCCATTCCGCTCTGAATCTGCGTGGGAGGGAGAGGAAAAAGTGAGAAACTGATCACGAACAAAAAGTCACGCACACACTACTGCGATTTACATTATAATATACAGCTGATTACATACAATAGAAATGTACTTTATATATCTGTTACTACATCTCACCTGTGCCCTCCAAGGGTGAGTCAGCCCCTACTTTCTCAACCTCTACTGGCTTTGACATCCTGATATCTGTAACAGGAAGACACACACACACACACACACACACACACACATATAAATAAGTCAGCAATGTTGATTCTTAAATCTGTCTCAGACAAACAAAGAAATGCAGACAGAAGCATTTAGAAAGCAGCTGATCAGAATCTCGATGACGAGAGGGGAAAGAAGAGAAGATGGCCAGGGTGTTGAATATAGATAGGTTAAAGTGTTTTCAGGTCACAGGCCATGCCTACACACACTGTATACCAAACAGTGTGGCTGAATCATTCACTAGTTGAAACCTACCCACAGCCATTCATTCTTTCCAATTAGCGGTTTAACAAAAGAGTAGGTTGACCCAAGGTGTTTGCTCTTTCTAAATTTAACTCAAGGTGTTTACGTGGGAGCACCTCGCCACTAAAAGTGTCACATGTTGTGTGTCATTCATTACAAGACCCCATCACTTCCTGGTTGATACTGTATTGGGACAGTCCCATGGCAACAGCAGTGAAGACAGGGAGGCATGAAATTTAAGTCTTTAAATCTATCACAAAAGGAGTAGAGCATTTTGGCAGCAGAGAGCACTGGAAAGATGGGAATGAGGATGATTTTAAGAGTTATGGCGGAATATATTTGTGTGTGTGCATGCCTGTACGTGTGTGTGTGTGTGTGTGTGTGTGTGTGTGTGTGTGTGTGTGTGTGTGTGAGTGTGTGTGGTTTTGTTTTATTAATCACCCAATGGTATCATCTCACTACAAATCTTTTTATTTGTTGGAAACCACAAACTGAAAGACAACTTTTTGTTGTGTCCATTTGAAACCTTTTTTTCTCTCGCTCTTGTTCTCTCTTTCCCTAACACACACACACACCATACAGACACGTAGAGCTACTTCCCTTTTGTGAAAACATGCAAATCCGCCCAACGACCAACTAATTATATCTGCCACCTGCATAATAAACTCTCAGTCTCCCTCCTTTTTTTCTCTCTCCCCTTTCACCCTTTCCTCTCCCTTTTATCTCTCCTCTCTTCACCCTGTTGCTTCTCTTGTTGCAGATGAGAGCACGCCGACGCCGTGGCAGTTTTTAATTTGCCCATCAGCTTATTGTTGAGCTCACATCAATAAGACACACTATAAATACAGAAAACACTCTTATATGACTCCTGCAATGCCAACAAGTAAGTGGTCAAGCATGGTTTTCACCATCAGGGGGCAGCAGTGACACATGGAGAGGATGACCGCTCCGCTGACCATCACTGACCTGATGCCACTTTTAAATAACCAAACTGCCAGTCCAGTGCAGTTGTCGTGAAGACAAGATAGAAACAATGAGCCACTCACATCCAGCAGCACGAGCACATTTGTTGCAGTGACACATGTGTGAACAGTGGACTTTGGTACATGCAGTGTCTTTAGGGGAAGGGGGAAGTGGCGACCAGCTAGAAAAGCTCCACTCTGCTGCCACACTGGTTATAACCTTAGGTCAGGAAATATACACGCACACACTGACCGCAGGGTTTCCCTCAAATAAATGGACTTCTGCAAAAAAAGCTAATTTTGTCACCAGCCATGTGGATGCAAACATCTGCTTGGTCTTTTATTAGGGTCTTTGTGGTTATTCCAATATTACATACATACATACATACAGCTCCTGTTTTGGAATTACACTCATGATGCATACATTTAAAAACAAAGAATTACCATGCGTCACCTGTATTACACTGAACTATCTTGTGCTCCAGTCATCAGTGTGTGCAGTGTGTGTACAGTAATACCAAAAGCCAAATATAAAATGACTGTCCAGCTCATAAAACAGCTGTAATGTGAAGTTCCCAAAGTGCTGCCACTTGCTCTGTACTGCCCGCTCGCAGGACACACGGGGAAGGTGTGTATTGATTCATGGTTCAAAATGGCCTACAGACAGTAGCATGGTGGATAATGTGGTCAGTAATACAGTGGTGGGACAGTATATCAAGATGCTGTGTCTTTTTCTCACTTCCCCTCCCGACTTCCCCTTGTACCGGGTTGAATGCAGAGTGCTAAACCCAACACTTACTGTCAGCGAGGCTATTAATATTAGCCTGCTCTCTCCCTCTCTTTCACTCTATCTTTTAAAAACCTCCCTTTCTCTTTTACAACACATTGCTGCACACACACACAGACGCACAACTAATTTTGCTTGACACAGAGCAACGTTTTTAGAATTTTAGTGATGTTTAAATAAGTATGAGAATAAGAGGCAGCGTCTCTTAACAGTGGCTCGTTGTTCTACTTTGGTAACAAGTTAATTTACAGAAGTGTTTCTCAGACTACTTTGTTAAATTACTGTGTGTATTTCGTCCCTCATTAAGCTGTTATGCTAATCTCACAGCAAAGCTCAGGGTTTAACTTTGTTCCAGTAAGAGCAGAGGGCTGCATCATACTTGCTGTGTGTTAAACAGAGCAGTTTTAATGCTGTATAATCCTGTGTCATGAATAAATGATGCAATAGTAAAGGAACAAGGAACAACAGTGACTGTGCTCAGTCTGGACTGTTTCTGTTACTGTCCTCTGGGTATTTTGGCTGAGATGAAACTCCGCTGCAACTACCCTGAATCCCCCCCCCCCCCCCCCCCCTCCCCATAAACCTGCACCCCACTTCCTGATTCAGGACACAACCCTGGCGCCAAGGGGGGTGTCTGGGAACTGGAGTCACCGCACCTACTAACTATGGATTTGAAAAACCAAGGGGTGCCCAATTTGATTGCAAAGAAACGCTTTCCGACTAAAACTGTGCGCCCAAGAGTCGACCAGCTTTAGCACATCTGGACGGGGGTGAAGACATAAGTTGATGTCAAAATTTGAGAATGAAAAAAGGATTTGAACAAATGTAAATAAATTAAAATAAGTGGATGAAGAGAGGCTTTAAAATTTAAGTGAAGAATCACAGCGGAAAAATCGAACAATAATTTAAAAAGCTACAAAGGTTTCAAAGCAGCATCATTACAGTCTGTGCTGCTGACATTGTTGGCCATTTTATCTGCGTTAAGCTTCTGTCTGTCTTGTGAAACTACACAACAAAATTACTACAATGATAAAACTGAGCTTTTAAAACACTTCATGAACAAAAGAAAATGCTGTTGGAATAAACAAGGATGTCACATTGTCAATGAGAACCTCCCTGACAGTTTGCAAAATTATATAAATAAGTGAAAATAAATAGTGAGTAGTTGAGAGAGGTTGTAAATGCAGAAGGCAAGAAGACTACACTGATCTTACAAATAATTAATATTGAAATTCCTCATTTATTCACTTAGAATTCTGGCCTAAATTAACAAAACTGTGTAATCAATTTTTAACTAAGCAAAATGAATTTCTGACATTTTCGTTCTCACATTAACCCTCTAACCTATTACACCAATATTGACCTTTGTTTTATTTGTACTAAGATCTAATGTTGTGCGTTTTTTGCAGTATGGTGCTCAGGATGCGTCACTCTGGTCAGAGTAACGTACTGAAGGTCACAGCAGTGACCACATCAGGTTACGATGTGACTCTGTGATTTTTTAGTCCATGAATCACTCCCTGATAAAAATGAAACATGTAATTTTTAAGAAATCATATCAGGACATCAAAGGCTAAGAAATATGAGCTAATTGACATTTAAACATTGATTTCTGGTAATTGGTGAGTCATCCAAAAACCTGCTGTGCTTCTCTTTACGACTCGCTGTCGGTCAACTGAGACTGTGTCTGACACTTTCTCTCAGCTGAAGCTGACCACCAAAACAAGGCCGAGGGGCAACAAGAGTCACATTTCTCTGCTTTGTTTTCATACATTTTAAAATACTGACAATGGCAGCTATTTGAGGCATTTCCCCTTTTGATTATCTGTCTTTTTTAAAAGAAGTATCTTTGTATCTAAATGCTTTCAAAATGTGTTTTGAATTAATTGACATACATTTCAATTTCAAAATAGGCAAAACAATAATCAGTGCAACCCCCCAAATCTCCCACACACACACACACACAGAAAGTTAACCCAGGTGTCAAAGTTGCACGGTAAGAAACCTTATCAGCTAAATACCTATAAACTGAAAACAAATGCAACACTGCCGCAGTGCTAGACACTAAAAAGAAAAGGTGTTTTATGATGACAAATGAAAAATAATCCCAATATACAAAAATACTGACTGCAACACAGGTTTTTCATCACAACTGCATTTTAAATGACATTTCCAAAAACTTTCTTCTACTGTATTTTTCTCAAGCATTTTTAGCATTCAGTATTCAGTATAAACACACACACACACACACACACACACACACACACACACACACACACACACACACACACACACACACACAGGCATGCTATGGGCTGGAGAGGTGGCTGACCTTTCCCTCTGCATGCGACAGGCGTCCACCCATCCATCCATCCATCCACATCTTTCTCTCCGTACCACCTCTCTTTGATGTTCTCTAATTAGCTGAGCTTGTTAGACCCAGTGGCATTAATCAACAGTGAAGACACAGTTCTCTTCCTCACACACACAAACACACACACACACACACACACACACACACACACACAGTGCCCTCTCCCTCACGCAAAGCTTAATTGGTCTTGTTAAATGAAGGCCAGCAGAGAGAGGGCTGCACAGACAGTCACTCACCTGGCAACCACATACTGGAGAAGTCCTTTGCTGCTATTGCTGCTGTCTTGGTCATATCTGTGTCTGTGTGAGAGGGTGTGTGTGCGCGGCGCGCTACGTAAAGAAAAAACTCTCCCTCTCCCACTCTCTCTCTCTCTCTCAAACCAAAAAGGAGGAGTGTATTAAATCATATGGTTAGAGAGAATTACTCTCTCTCTAGTCCACACCCCCCAAGCCCCACCTCCTCCCCACATCCTGCAAACAACAGGAAGTAAGCCTCAAAAGAGGAGGAACTCGGCACAGAGGGGAGAAAAATATAAGACTATAGAAGAAGAAGGGAAAAAAAGAAAGGGGGACATGCAAGAGGTTAGAGAGTGGGAGAGAGTGAGTGAGCGAGG